GAATACTCTCCCTCAGGAGAAAGGTGACAATAAAGTAAACATTGATCCAGCTGCATACAATCAATGACTAGTTTTGGCAAACCCTAAATTTTTGTCATATTGGTGGTTAGCGCTAGGGCTAACACAGATATGAAGGGACTTGATTTTTATCTAATGCCTTCTGTAATTTAAAAGGAAGATTAAAAAGTCAAGTAAGTCTTAAAAGAAGATTAAAATACATGCACTGGTTGGTGTTAGGAATTTACCTTATGTGCAAAAACATTAATATTGTTTTATCCAAACAGATCTCTATAAATAACAACAAATGAGAAATCTAATTTGAAAAATCACTGTAATTCAAATATTAAAAGGGGTGACAACATATGCTTTTTGCATGAATTATATGGGATCTGCTATAATAAATGCAAATTCTTAAATTTGAATAGGATATCTAACTCACATTAGAACATCAAATGATTAAGATTAATGGGGGGGGGACCCGAATAGCTCAGTCGGTAAGCATCTGACTTCAGCTCAGGTCATGTTCTTACAGTTTGTGAGTTTGAGCCCCACATAGGGCTCTGTGCTGACAGCTCAGAGCCTGGAGCCTGCTTTGGATTCTGTCTCCCTCTCTCTCTGCCCCTCCCCCACTTGCACTCTGTCTCTCTCTGTCTCTCTCTCAAAAATGAAATAAACATTTAAAAAATTTTTAAATAAAAAAGATTAATGAACCACATATTTTATTATAAATCCTATACTCCTAATACAAATTACAGTGTACTTTTTTTTTTTTAATGTTTATTTATTTTTGAGAGAGAGAGACAGCATGAGCAGGGGAGGCGCAGAGAGACAGGGAGACACAGAATCTGAAGCAGGCTCCAGTTTGAACTGTCAGCACAGAGCCCAGCACGGGGGGCTTGAACTCATGAACCGTGAGATCATGACCTGAGCCAAAGTCAGACATTCAACCAACTGAGCCACACAGACACCCCCTACTGTGTACTTTCAAAATCATTTTGTTAGGTATAATTTTAGTTTGCCAAATACTAAAGTTTGAAAACACATGGATACTGACCAGTCTTTAAAATTGTACATTTTATTGTTATATTTTTCGTAAAATGATCTTGTATAGGTATACGTACAAACAGAAACACACCCCTCACGGAGGCTTTTGTTGATAAGATTTTTGCTTATCTGGTAGGAGGTTTTATATTATTTTGTGACAACTGCAAGTAACTGCTTTTTTTTTTTTTTTTTTCAACGTTTATTTATTTTTGGGACAGAGAGAGACAGAGCATGAACGGGGGAGGGGCAGAGAGAGAGGGAGACACAGAATCGGAAACAGGCTTCAGGCTCCGAGCCATCAGCCCAGAGCCCGACGCGGGGCTCGAACTCACGGACCGCGAGATCGTGACCTGGCTGAAGTCGGACGCTTAACCGACTGCGCCACCCGGGCGCCCCTGCAAGTAACTGCTTTTAAGCACAGGAACTTTAGACAGTAACTGAGTAAAAGTTCCTTCAAAACAAACAGACAAACAAACCGAAAACTTTCCCTTTTCCCCTTTTGCCTGAATTAGCTGAATACTTCTCACAGTTGTCCTCTTAGCTTTGCTTGTGGAGGTCACATGGGCATCTCTGTACAATCCCAGGTTAGCACATTCTCCTTACGTAAATGATTGCATTTATTATTAGATATTCATAATCAGAGCTCTGGTTTACTCTGCAAAGATCATTTTCTAAACATGCATAATAAAACTGTTATTATATATTATTTACATTTTAAGATCTTTTCCTCAGTATGATGTGTTTAAAATAATCATTTTCTTACCGAAGCATGGGTATCTCAAAAATTGAAATAGGTTTTTAGAAACTTACCTTAAGAATAATCTTCTCTTTAAAATTATAGTGACGGGGCGCCTGGGTGGCGCAGTCGGTTAAGCGGCCGACTTCAGCTCGGGTCATGATGTCTGGGTTCGAGGGTTCAAGACCCACTTCAGCCTCTGTGCAGACAGCCCAGAGCCTGGAGCCTGCTTTGGATTCTGTATTTCCCTCTCTGCCCCTCCCCCACTTACACTCGGTCTCTCTCTCAAAGATAAATAAACATTTAAAAAATATTAAAAATATTTACATATGCAGGTTTTCAAATGTGAGGAAACATTTAAGCTGGGCTTAAAAAAGAAGTAGTACTTATGGAGGAAGGACTGAGAAGCAGTGACATTTTAAATAGAGAACATCATGAGTTAAGGGCAGCAAAGTAGACAGTTCCCAGGATGTATGGGGAACAAAAATTACTCCTGTGGTGGAATATAGGGTGCTGGAGGGGGCAAGTGGAAAATAAAGCTTGTAAAGCCAAATCATGGAGGCCCTGAACATCACAGAATTGGATTTTAATTAGTAGGGAATGAGAATTCTAAATAATTCAAAATAAAAATGTAATGATTAATCTGGAAATACTAAGTTACAACACAAAGCCTGTGAGAAAACATCTGATCATTCAAAAGTAAGCTCCAGTTACTAAAAAATAATTCTATTTCAGATCAAATAGTAATTCTATGAAAAATTTTGTAGTATGTTCACTGAAGCAAGTTTATGTTTAAAAAGACACCCCAAAGCAGTTTGCCTCATAATTTAAATAAACTCTTTAAAATAACCACAGAATTAGCAGTCAGTGTGGGTTTCCTACAGTTTTTAAATGTAGAAATATATGCGTATTTTCCTTAAGTAGAACACTGGATTTTTCTCAAGGATTATAATGGTGACCTAGGCTGGGCAGAAGTAAAAGTATGTTGAGCAGAAGAATATAAAGATTTTTTTTTTTTTTTTTTTTTTTTTTTTTTAGTAATAGAAGCAAGGAAGGGACTGATGCCTTTCAAATCCTCTCAGTTGTTTCCTAAGCTGTGGGTCTTTAACTGGTAAAGGTGACAATTAAGGGGAAGTGGCAGTGGATGACAGCACATAACTTATGGTTGCAGAGATTTCAAGCATCCATAATATACATAATCTTGTACCACTGAACAGAGGAGAGGATGGAGAGTTAAGCATGTCTGAATTTAAAAGCTGGTTATGTGATCTTGAATACATTTCTTTATGTCTCTGTAATTCATTTTCTTAATCTACAAAATGAGGATAACAAATATTTATAGATGAAGATTAGAAGAGTATATAGGAAAGTACCTGGTGAATATTCAATAAATGATAGCTCTTCATTAAAAACTTAACATTTATTAAGGTCCTACGGTATGCCTGCCACTGTGATTCTGTGGTTTTTAATCTTTGGCAGACTTTAGAGAGAGGTAAATTGTACTTAGAAAGGTGATCAAGGAGCAACTCAAAGTATTTATCTCTCTCCTAGTTAGGAAATCTCCGTTGGAGAGAGGCAAGCCATCTTTACACTTTAGTGTCATCAGTTCCTTACTCAAAAGTCACTGGGTTTACTTGGAAGTGGAAGAAGGAAGTCTGAGTTAGAAACTGTGAGGGCACTCACTATGACAGGAAGGTGTGAAAGGAAGAGGGAAAGGAGGTTAAGAACCGAGAGGAAGAGGAGAGGCCACAAAAACAATGACTCTAATTTGTACTAGAGCTGTAGAGGGGAATTTTGTGTCCCCTTAGAATCTCTGAGGAAGATAATTGAGATGTGAAATTCAAGACTTGTGCCAGAGTCAGATTCCTCTCTTTCATCCTGGTCTCACCAGTTCAAGCTTCCCTTTCAGTACCATACACAAGAAAGAGAATGGGAAGATACATGGTAGGACTCCTCTGCTCTCCACCCCATCTTAACCCTCAAGAAAATCTGATGGGCTTTTTCTATTTACTGATCTTGTTAAGAAGCAGTCCCCAATTCTCAACACCCCCACACCATAAAAATGCTGTGTGACTTAAGGATTTTCTTTAAAATAAATTCCATAGCCTTTCGGTCGTGTTGGTCCTACTACATCAGATTTTCCCCACTTCCCATATTCTCAGCTTTGGCAGTGATGATCCCGCCCTAAGCTTTTGCGACCCAATCCCTAACCTAAACATTTCAGGGGCTATTGAGCTGCAGAAAGCGGAGACTGCCAATTTTGGAATCTGGGATTCCCAGGACATCGGGACAAGCAACTGAGAGGTCCACCCAGGGGTAAATTCCACGGATGGTTTCTTCTCTGTGTGGCGTCAGTGCTTTAACATCTGGGTTAGTCAGATCATGCAGACACGGTAACTAAGCGCAGAAAACAGCTGGGCACGTTGCTCTGAGCCCACACGCACCGTGACCAGTCGTTCTTAGAAACCGCTTCTGGAAATACCAGCTCCAAAAGGCGTGCAGTGCTTGAGTGCGGATAAGGCAGGTGCAAAGCCGAGCACATTTTAGGACTGTGGGGCCAAGTCTGCACTTTTGAGAATTCCTCTTACTTTTAGTTAAGTTTTAACACTGGATTTACCCGGGGAAGAGAAGGTGTTCAGTGGCAGTTGCACGCAGCTGAAAAAAATAATTTGAACTACATATTCCTCAGATTCTGCACAAACAGTTGTGGAAGAGAAAACTTAGGAGGTCCAAGTTCAGCATTAAACAACCTGCCACCAAAGATTCCAACCACGTTCCTCCGTCGGTTTACTCCTCGGACGCGCTTCACGCTTAGTGCGCCTGCGCCCGCGCGAACTGTGATTCCCCACCCCCACCACGCCTCCTCTTTGGGGACGTAAAACGTGCGCCGGGAGGCGGGACGCGGGCTACGCATGCGCGCTCATTGCATCAGCTGCTGGGTCCGTGCTGGCGGCTGGAACCGAGAAGACTGCGTTTGCTGCGGTGTCTCTCGCGCGGGTGTGGTGACGTGCGCCCGGAAACTAAGAAAAGAAGGGCTAGAGTAAGTGTTCCCCTCGGCCGCTCGAGTCGGTGCTATAGTATTTCCTTCCCGTCAGGCCAGTGGCTATAGGGACCAGACCCCGCCCCCTTCCCGGCCTAGACTCCCTTTCCCTCCCTGCCCCTTTCCCACCGGGTACCCCCTCATTTCCTCTTGTTCTGCCTGCGAATCCCCGCCAAAGTCATGAAGCTCGTGAGGAAGGACATTGAGAAAGACAATGCGGGCCAGGTGACCCTGGTCCCCGAAGAACCTGAGGACATGTGGCACACCTACAATCTAGTGCAGGTGGGCGACAGCTTGCGTGCCTCCACCATCCGCAAGGTACAGACTGAGTCCTCCACGGGCAGCGTAGGAAGCAACCGGGTCCGCACTACTCTCACTCTCTGCGTGGAGGCCATCGATTTTGACTCTCAAGCCTGCCAGCTGCGGGTTAAGGGGACCAACATCCAAGAGAATGAGTATGTCAAGATGGGGGCTTACCACACCATCGAGCTGGAGCCCAACCGCCAGTTCACGCTGGCCAAGAAACAGTGGGACAGTGTGGTTCTGGAGCGCATCGAGCAGGCCTGTGACCCAGCCTGGAGCGCAGATGTGGCGGCTGTGGTCATGCAGGAAGGCCTCGCCCATATCTGCTTAGTCACTCCCAGCATGACCCTCACTCGGGCCAAGGTGGAGGTGAACATCCCTAGGAAACGGAAAGGCAACTGTTCCCAGCATGACCGGGCCTTGGAGCGATTCTACGAACAGGTGGTCCAGGGTATCCAGCGCCACATAAACTTTGATGTTGTGAAGTGCATCCTGGTGGCCAGCCCAGGATTCGTGAGGGAGCAGTTCTGCGACTACATGTTTCAACAAGCAGTGAAGACCGACAACAAAGTGCTCCTGGAAAACCGGTCCAAATTCCTTCAGGTAAAACAGTCTTATCCAAGGGTAATTAAGAATGGGCAGAGGGATTTGTATAAACTACTCTTAGGTTTTAGGACTGGGAAAAGTACAAGAGGAGAAAGTGTTTACTGGACTGTGATTGTAAGCGAGCTAATGAAATGAAAAAGAGAATTGTTAAATAGGGTATTTACATAGTAAACTTTGCTTTAAGTTCTCAAACTTAATAAAGTTTTATTAGTGCTTTTGGCTTTAGGTCATTGCAGGCTGATGAATGGGTACTCTAAGATTGTTTTGCCTAACTTTCATAATTGTGATTCCAGGTACATGCCTCCTCTGGACACAAGTACTCCCTGAAAGAGGCCCTTTGTGACCCTTCTGTAGCTAGCCGCCTTTCAGACACTAAAGCCGCTGGGGAAGTAAAGGCTTTGGATGACTTCTATAAAATGTTACAACATGAACCTGACCGAGCTTTTTATGGACTCAAGCAGGTAGAGAAGGCCAATGAGGCTATGGCAATCGACACATTGCTCATCAGTGATGAGCTTTTCAGGCACCAGGATGTAGCCACACGGAGCCGATATGTGAAGCTGGTGGACAGTGTGAAAGAGAATGCGGGCACTGTTAGGATATTCTCTAGTCTTCATGTATCTGGAGAACAGCTCAGTCAGTTGACTGGAGTGGCTGCCATTCTCCGCTTCCCTGTCCCTGAACTCTCTGACCAAGAAGATGATTCCAGTTCTGAGGAAGATTAATGATTGGAACTTCTAACTTAGACAATCTGTGTCTCCATTGTTACATTTCCTTAGCATCCTGGCAGAAAGCTGCAAGGCACTTTGTGATTCTTACAGGAATTTCTCATGTCTTTGGTCACACTAGGTATTGTGTGATTGGCAGGACATGTATTCAAACCAAACAATAAATTAAAAGGAAATAATTTCCACGTACTACCATCTTTATTAAATAGGATAATTTATATAGAAACTGTGAGTTATTTGCAGTACTCAAAAAGCATTTTGTGTATTTAATAAGAGTACCTATATATTCTTTGGGATAGATCATAAAATCCCAGATGTTTTTCCCTTGTCCTTTAGGAAAAGCTGTTTGGTATTTCATTATCCTCAGTTACACTGTTTATCTTAATTCTACATAGTGTTCTTGCGCTGTTTAATGATCCCTTTCTGCACTTTTTTAAGTTTTAAATTTGCTATTTTAAGTGATGGCCAAATAATTGTAGACTTTTCTAGAAAACAAATTTAAAATGGTATTTTTCTTAAGAAACTTGTTAAGCTCTTGGTGAATTTTTGTTGTTGTTGTTACAATTAATATTTGCTTTGGAGGACCACGTAGTTACTTTGGGATCATAGAGCTTTGACCTGCTAGGGATTTCAGGATAAGCTATTCGAAGTATTTTTATTTTTAAAATGCAATTAAAGTGTGTGATTTACTTGTTATGTGGCTAATTAGTGCCAAAGCTGAAAGTAGTCCCCAGTCTAGACTCCCATTTCTTTGCGCTATCACACTATTTAGTTGGCTTATCATAAATATGCATAGTGCTGTCTTATATTTCTATGTGGCATTAGTCTGTGCTTGCACATTCTTATTGGACTTTCCCTAGACCTTAAGTTGGGGTGAGAACACCTGTTCAGAAAGTTTGGTTAAGTCACATCTTTACTAGTATGTGGTAGCTGACTTGTAGTCCAATACTTTTTACTGTAATGATGGAATTTCTGCAAATACCTGACTTTAAAGTATTATTTTCATTAAGTATCTTTGATGCCCATTTTTAAGAATTAGGAAGGGCCCTGGAGTGTAATTGCATCCTGACCTTTTACAAACCTCAGCCTTAGCAAAATAATTAGGAAAGTCACTATAAAGAAAAGATGATAATTCAGTTTGCAACTGATGGGTATCTACTTCAAGTACAGATACTAAGTAAATTGTTGCTTGTCCTTTTTGTCTCTGGGCCTTTCTCCTGGGATAGATCCCAGGTTGGGATTTTTTCATAATTTCTCACTAATGTGAGCTTTTTTTTTTTTTTTTTATCTGTAATTAGGAATAGACACTCCATGTACTTTAAAATTACATTGTTACATATCTACCTCCTAATCTAAAAATAATTTGGATTGTGATTATGTCAGTGGATATTTCACTTTAAAATATATGAAAAACATGTTACTGAATCATTTGGTAGTATAGAAAGAAATTGCTAAGACTTTTAATGTCTTATTTAATGTCTGATTGATAATGACTCATATTCTCAGTAAGAATTTAAAGATTTGGGGCATATATTACTCTCATAATCTATGCAGTATTGGTTATTCCTAGGTCTCTTATCTACAGTGATAGAAATCAGGAGAAATAAAACCTACCCATAAATCTGACCAATACATTTTAGGTCATAGGTTCTCAAACTAGCTGGTTGTTAGCCTGACCTTGAGAGCTTTTGAAACTCAATACCCAGACTGGATCCCAGGCTAAATAACCTTTACCCTAGAAGTGATGTTTTGTTTTGTTGTGTTTTGTTTTGTTTTGATTTAATCCCCAGGTGATTCCATTGGGTATCAATGCTGAGAACCATTGATTCATGTCTTGCTATTGGTCTATGGACCACCAGCAGACTGGACCCAGGACCCTGAGAGCTTGTGGGAAAATAGAGTCCAGGACCTACTCTGGACCTTGTGAGTTTCAATCTGTATTTTAACATCTCCAGTTGATTACTGTGTATAATACAATCTGATAAACATAGGCAATAGTTTATTCTCCCTGTGCTAATAAATCTATGGCTGGGGTTGCCAGATACGGAGAAAAACATTTGAATTTTGTTTTGTTTTGTTTTTGTTTTTGTTTTTAAAACATTTGAGTTTCAAGGTCTTTCAAGAGAGTTAATTGGCCAATATTCAGCCTAACTATCAATAAGACTTTTCAAAATAAAAGCATATATTTTTGTCTGTAAAGTGCTTAAAATATCTTCAAAAATTTCTATTTTTTAAAATTTACATTTTATACCATTATCAAGAATATAAACATACACGTATAGGGTGAACTATCAAAATAGTGATAGTATATGTAGTAAGCAGTAAAACTTTTTTATCTTAATAAAATAAACGGGCTTTGTAGAAGTGAAAAAAGTAGTGATAGCATATAGAATTTAAAAATTATAATTTATTTGTTACTATTCTCTAAAAAGCAAAATGAATGATAAGTCTTGGAAATCATATATAGTAGTTTAATTCTAATTGCTATTCATTAACAGGGAATAACTGGTTACAAATGGAAACATACCTCTCAATGAAATTTTGTACTGTAAATTTCCTCTTACCATCAGGCACTTACAAGCAAAGATTTGCTGCCCCTCCTGGACACAATAAATAAGAAGTGTGCAGAATGTTTCATTTTACTCTAGATATGAGATACATATATACACACTTCATATACTTGCCTTGCCTTGCTGCATACATGTATATAACATATATATACATATATATTTATTTTATTCACCCATTCTGGTCCCTAGGTATGTTAAGTATTTTGCTAATTTTATGTCTGGATTATTGATTCTGGATTTCATTTTCATTACCCTCTTACATACAAGTTGGATCTTTTCCCTCCCAGATGTCATTAGAGTAGCTTTGTAAAGCTAATTTTCCTTTATCTCTACCTATTTTCTGTTATTAATTTTATTTTCCTTTTTTAATCCCTGTGACCAGTTCTCTTAACCTCTAATTATCTTTAACAAAAGTGACTCATAATTTCTGCAATTCATGTATTTCTGGAACTGAAATATTCTTCATTGCTAAAAATAAAAGTACACAGATGAATTATATATATGTGAATTCCCCAAAGTAAAGCTGTTAGTTGGGAAAGAAGTATTGTGCTTTTAAATCCAATGGTTTCCCAAGCAAATAAGATTGAATGTTTGTGTTCAGTTCCAGAATATGTTGAATTGCATGTTGAATAGGGGTTTCTGAGGTGATTCTGAGAGTTTGAGGAGAAAGAAACCCTTTTGCCTATGGTCAGAGCTTAGAAATGGAGCATCTATATTTATATTACACCAGTCATTGAGGGTGATACATTTAATTTTATCCATTTGTTTTTAGTGCCTACTTTGATCCAAGCACTTAGCTGGGTTTAGGAAAGACAACATGTAAACAAATCACTGTTACAAAAGTAACATAGAAACTGTAAGAGGGCACAGTGTTGGAAGGGGTCACTTTCAGGATGAACTTTATAGAACTAGAGCCAGTAACTTTACGTAAAATAGTGAGAAGAAACCTGGAGAGGTTATCAGAAGGAGGAGAAGGGTAAGTGTGCTAATCACATTAGACCCTCCATGCCACAATAAAGAGTGGGTTTGACAATAATGAGAAACCACTGACAGGTTTAGGCGGGAGAATGGTATGGTAAACTTTGCATTTCAGAAATGTAACTGTTCAGCAGTATCAAGGATGAATTGGAAGAGGCAAGAAGACTGGTTAAGAGAATGCAGAGTAGAAAAATCCCCAGGGAAAACAATGTTGGTGTGAACAAGGACAGTAACAATACTGTGAAATAAGGAAGGAAAAGAAGTCAGTAGGCAATATGAAGAGATGGTATCAAAAGGACATGGGCTGCAGTTGTTCAGAATTGAAGAGTAGACTGTAGGGGTAAGTCAAACTTTTTTTTTTTTTTTAATGTAAGAGCAATAATGGCAAAATTAAAACAAAAACAGGAAATCTAGGAAGAAAGGCTAGCTTGCACGGAAAAACAGTTCAGTTTTGAATCCAGAAGGTGGCTGCAGGACATCTAAAATGCTCTTGGATGCTCACATCCTCACTCCCTTCAGGTTTTTGCTAAAATGTCATCTCAGTGAGGTCTTCCAAGCTAGTCTTTAAAAAAAAAAAAAAAAGATAACTTCTCCAAGATTTCCTTCCAAGCCCTTCTTTATCTTATTCTTTTCTATAATGTTTATTTCATTTAGTTTTCTTATATGTCTATCATGTAAGCTCCATAAGGACAGAGACTATTGTCTGTTAGGTTCATTCTAATGCTAAGAATGCTCTCTAACACACAGCAGAGGCTCAAAAACTTGGGGGGTAAATGAATGACTGAATGAATTCATTCAGTCCCTTAATTAAGAAGGTCCCTTAGTTAATTGTGCTCACAGGTCTAAAGTTCAGGAAAAAGCAGTTGGCTGAGGTTAATGTTACAGGATTTGTCAGTGTGTAAGTAAACCTGAAATCAGAGAAAAAAAAAAAAAAAAAAAAAAAAAAAAAAAAAAGTGAGCTAACAAATTAGTAAAGCTAAGAAAAAAAGGCCAGAGACAAAAGCATAGGCAAATAGATATTTAATCTGTTTAAATAAATGCTCCTTGACTCCATTATCTATTGAAATCATTCAAAGCAGAGGTGTTTCCTGTATTTCAATAATATGGTCAAATAATCCTTTTTCTCCTATTGCGCTCTGTAGTATTCTAGAGATACACACATAGAAGAGCCAAAGTGTTGATTTCATAGAAGTTGAGTTTTAAAAGTTCTTAAGATAAAAATTCTAAATTGGGGGCTAAAGCCAAATTACTTTTGTATATGATTTTTAAGTGGGTCTTAATATACATTCATTTACAGATTTAGTATATGAAAGTTCCAGTTAAAAAAAAGATGTGTTAGGGGATCAAAGTTGAATTTATTAAGAGATTTTTTTCAAGATTACCATAGCACAGAAATTATTACCAAGTTCTATCTCTTTCAGGCCAGGTTTGTAGCAGTGTTACTGCTAT